AGCCTCCATGGTTGCGCGCATTGTCTTCGGTCTCTCTGGCCTCATTTTAGCAGCCAAATCAGGCTTTAAGCCCCCAATAAACGCCCCTACTAAAGTTACTTTCGGTTAAATGCAAAGAAGACTCGCGATTCACTCGAACTCCTTCTGGTACTCAAGTAAACTACACACATGTTTGGTATGCGATAGAGCTTCATCGCAATCATGGTAATCTGATGACCAAAATCGCGTAATCAACTCATTTTCAAAAATTTCCCAAAAAATCCATGTGTCCTTTTTCTTGTAAACCCTTGACAGCCACTACCACCATATGTTCGCCTCCCCATCAAGGTAGTAGGCGACGAATTTTACCCTTTACGCTTTCGGTACTTCGTTGATCTCGAAAAACGGATTGGCCTGACTCAACCACGGATCTGGGCCCGTCTCGTTAAACATTGACATAATCAATTTTGGCCTCTCGCTCCTGCTCATTTCCTGGTGATTCGAGCCCGTGAACGGTTATCCTCGTTCTCCGTGAACTCATTATAAAACTCGGCCTCCTTTTTCTGAATCGATTGATTCGCCCGATGACCGATCCATGTCGTCGCCCCTCTGTGCTTGCTATCCGACGATTTGGAGCAGCATTCGCTCGATCGTGGCCACCTTTTATTTGGTTGCTTGCACGTCATCGGGGATTGAACATTCACTCTTGCAAGCAATCAATCTTCTCCTTGTTATGATGATACACGATCGATACTCTAAATGAAAGCACCAATGATGAAGATCGTGTATCGATAGATTCAAATTTTGTAAAAACCCGTGCCGTTGGCCATCAGTTAACATAATAATTGTGCTTGAGAGCGAACAATTTTTTATTTCATATTGCATAATTTTTCCAAAAGAAGAATACAAGACTTTAAAAGAAAGAAAAATGTGAAAATTACAACAAAGGTCCTAAGAAACATAAATTAACAAAACATACTTAGTAAATAATGAAGCTGCACTCACGCCCTAGGTTCTCGCCGTAATGTCGCAGTGTAGTGAGACCTGGAATAACTGCGGCCTCTATTGGGCCGCAGCGGGTGTCACGATGTGATGCGAGACGCGATGCCCTATGCTCGCGCGATCGTCCGAGCTGACTGCTTTGGCTGCGCGTCCTTCCAGCTGTGTGTGTGCTCGTTGGCTGTGCGGTCCTCAACAGCGCGCTCGCCCGTCGTCCTTGCACGCTTGCGTCCGGTTACCCGACCTCTTTATCACGAGCATGACGAGCTCTATTATAAGCATTCATGAGCAGCATCACTATCCCACAACCACAACAAAAAATGGTGAAATTCCAACGGAAATATATTTCACTAGAATTATTGCAACGACAGTTCCAATTAGTGATGGCAATGGGGAATTCCCCATCGGGTGTTGACTCCCCATACCCATCCCCGCGAGAGAATTTTCTCCCCATGGGGATCCCCATTTATGCTTTCGGGAAGGATTTTCTCCCCATCCCCATTACCCGCGGGGATAAATCCCCATCGGGGATCCCCATACCCGCTAATTGTTATTGATATGTATTTTATTTATACTATGTAGGTGGCATAACATCACATTATATGATTTCAGTTTATCACATTACATACATAATATGATATTATGTTTACATATTTAATATATTCTCATTTAATTACATCATCATTCATGTGTATGTATAAATATATTGGAATAACTAGCATGTATACTAGCTTAACGGGTCCCCGCGGGTAAACGGGGACGGGGATTGGTTCCCCATCCCCATACCCGTTTACCCGTCGGGGATGATTTTCTCCCCATTAGCACCCCCATGGAGGAAGATTTCATCCCATCCCCATCCCCTAATAGAGGAATTCCCCACGGGTAATCGGGGATCGGGTCCCCATTGCCATCCCTAGTTCCAATGGATATTGCAATGCTATAATTCTGTTGGAATTTTTCAACGGATTCCAACGGAAATTCCAATGAATATATTCCGTTAGAGTTAGTTTTCCATTGGAATTTCTGTTGGATTTTGACGATTCCAACGGTAGATTTTTCAACGGGGGTGGAAAGAAAAATTCCAATAGAAATTACATATCCAACGGAAATTCCTACGGTAAAAAGCCGTTGGAAATATAGCGTTGGAAACATGGAATCATCAAATTCCATAAAAAATTTCAATGAAAACACATTCCAACGGAAATTAACGGAATATTATTGTCGGAATTTCAGTTGGAATGATTCCAACGAAAGACATACCATTAAAATATTCGTTTGAATTTCTATTAAATTATATTATCATAAAATTTTTCGTTGGAATATAATAATATTTTTGTGATAAACACTTGATAAACAAACACCACGGGCCACGAGACATGACCATATATATCCATAACCAGTTAACCACATATCCCTAGACCCACCGTTTAATTTCTTATCCCACACTGTTGGTACCTTTGCAAATTAACCCATTACACATTTACAAATTACACAGTTAACACACATGAGAAGTTAACCAATATATGGACTACGTTTTGTCACTGTCCTTGGCCCCGATTTATATATATTCGCTAGTCCCTCAGAAAGCATAAACCCCGTGTACCGAAGGCCTAATTGGAAACCAAAAAAAAAAAAGGGAAAAAAAAAATGGAGTGGGCTCTAAACTCACTCAACCCACTCACCGTGTCTCTCCTGGCCGGCCTCTTCCTCCTCGCCGTAACCCTCCTCCGGCCAAAACCTCCCGGCAAGAGACCCCCTGGCCCCAAGGGCATTCCTGTCCTCGGCAACCTCCACCAGTTGGGCGACCTCCCCCATGCCTCCATGCACCGCTGGCGATCGGCCCACGGCCCTGTCATCTGGCTCAAGCTCGGCTCCGTCTACACCATGGTCGTCCAGAGCTCGTCTGCCGCCGCCGAGCTCTTCAAGAAGCACGACCTCCCCTTCGCCGACCGCAAGGTCCCCGACGTGCTCACGGCCTACGACTTCAACCGCGGGACCCTCGGCATGAACCAGTTCGGTGGCCACTGGCGGGTCCTCCGCCGCCTCTGCTCCATGGAGTTCCTCGTCAACAAGCGCATGAACGAGACCTCCTACCTCCGACACCGCATCCGCGACAACATGGAGCGCTGGATACTCGAGGAGTCTGCCGCTAACCGGGCCAAGGGAGGCCCCGGGGCCGTCCAGCTCAGCAGGTTCCTCTTCCTGATGGCGTTCAACCTTGTCGGGAACCTGATGCTTTCGAGGGACCTGCTGGATGCAAAGGACCCGGAGTCGAGGCAGTTCTTCGACTGCATGAACCGGGTGCTCGAGCTGTCCGGGACACCAAACATAGCCGACTATCTGCCGTGGCTCAAGTGGATGGACCCGGCTGGGATGAGGCGGGAGATGAAGAGGAACTTGAAGATAACGATGAGGATTGCGTCGAGGTTTATACAGGAGAGGGTCGATGAGCGTAAGGCCGGGAAGATCCGAGAGAAGAAGGATTTTCTTGACGTGCTGCTCGAGTATGAGGGAGACGGTAAGGACGGGCCGGACAGGATGACCGAGAAGAATATCAACATCGTCATCACGGTGAGTCTTCTTTTTCATTAATGAAATGCATATGGATTGAGATTTAGCAAAAGAAGAATTTAATAATAATTATCAGAGCCGGTCCTGAATATTTTTTGGCTCTGGGCCAAATACAAAAATAGTGCCCTATATATCTATATATATATATATAAACTAGAGTATCTATATAATAATATCAACAATGCCCTAATAATTATTTTGCAATTAACATATTAATTTATGTAATCTCATATGAGGCATAATTTACAATAGCTCACAATTCATCACTTATATAAAGGTTATTGGCACTTTGATCTTCCAAAAGAGATAGTACCTTGAGTGCTTTTATAAATAAAATGATAATGTCTCAATATAAATTTATGACACATCAAAACTAATTTACCAACCAAAACCTTTTTTTTTGGGGGTGCAAAAATATAGTAGTAACAAAATCACTTACAAATTTTTTTTGAATATTATCGAAAAAATTATCAATTGTATCACCATTGTCAAAATTTCATATAATATCCTTTTATTGAATAGATTAATTAGTTGCGAAATTTGATATACCTCACCTTTTTAAGTGGTTTTTATATGACATAAGAATTATTTAGTTTGTAGTTTAAACATAATGATATGTTAACTAAAGATAATTAATAAGTAAAACTATAATTAAGTTATTATCAATATTATCTTAAATACATAAAATAATATTATAAATTTATTACAACATCAGTTTTATTGATCTCTAGTTAATTTATGGTTTATGTTTGACCTATAAAACAAATAACTCTCAACAACACAAAACCAAAAAAAAAAAAAGATAAAGATATAAAATTTACAAATCAACCATAAATAGTAACAAAATAAATATTAAATAAATTTAAATTTTATCAAACAACCTTAACCACACTGAAAGTAATTTTAAGAAGTTAATTAAATATAATCTATAAATTAATTATAATGGCCAATCAAGAAATCAACAAATAACATATATTTTTTATGTAAATAAGATAAATATGTATAAAAGGAGAATGTAACTAGATGACATAGATAATTAAGTTCAAAGAAAGAGAGATAAATAAATGATAAAGACAACAAAAACAAGGGGCCGAATGGTGTGTTATAGAAAATAGAAAAAGTGACTTGTGGGATGGTGAGCTAAAGCAATACATTGGGCCTTGGGTCGTTGCTTTGTATAAATACTTGTAACTCTCCACCTTGTAGCTCTCCACCTTTTTTAATTCATGGAAATAAACTAAAGCAATACATAGCAATAGTACATATGGGTCGGTGCCCCTCCCATGAATTGGGCCCTGGGCCGTTGCCCAGGTCGCCCTGGGCCAGTGCCGGCCCTGATAATTATAGAAAAAAAACAACGCATCTTGGAGATTGATAGTTATCATTCATCAAATATGTTTGAAAAATCAGGAAATGTTCTTCGCGGGGTCTGAGACAACGAGCATCAGCATCGAGTGGGGATTCGCGGAGCTTCTGCGAAGCCCGGCCACGTTCAAGAAGGTCCGGGAGGAGCTTGACCGGATCGTGGGTGTTGACCGGCGGGTCGAGGAGAAGGACATAGAGAACATGCCTTACCTGCAGGCGGTTGTTAAGGAGGCCCTCCGCCTCCACCCGGTGCTGCCCCTGCTCCTCCCGAGGAACACGCAGGAGGCTACCGACTACATGGGCTACCACATCCCCAAGGGCACCCAGGTGTTCGTCAACGCGTGGTCCATAGGGCGTGACCCGGAGGTCTGGCCGGACCCGCTCGAGTTCAGGCCCGAGAGGTTCCTCGGGTCCAACATCGAGTACAAGGGTCAGCACTTTGAGTTGATCCCGTTTGGGTCGGGCCGGAGGATCTGCGTCGGGTTCCCCCTGGCCCACCGCACCGTCCACCTGGCGATTGCCACACTGGTTCAGTCGTTCGACTGGGATCTCGGGCCGGGCGTGAAGCCCGGGGATATCGACAGGGAGGAGAGGCTTGGGCTGACCCTGAGGAAGAAGAATCCCCTGTTTGTGATACCGACCAAGCGCCTAAATTGTTGAATCAAAGGACAATAAACTTAGATATATGATTGTCCTGGAAAATGCGATTTTATGTGATTTATATTGTCGTGTTTTTATGTATTTTCATAATCTTATTATACTCTAATGCTTTTGTGTTATCTTGTTTTTTCGACGGATGTCTGTCTCTGGGCTTTAATAAAACGTCCTGATTTTAGTGCTTCTGTCATCTTATTATTGGAAAATGTTACGAAACCATTCCGTCGGAGTTTGAAACCGTTAGATCAATATGTAACCATCAAAGATAGTTGATCTAACGGTCACAAATATCCGTAACGGGATCTCATAGAGTTTTTTAGTTTTTGGGTGCGTGGTCACGAGGGCATGGACGTGGACACTTGTGCGAAAACAGAAACAGGGGCTGAAGACAATAATCAAATAATTGTGTCGTAGTCTTGTACAGTTATGTTGCACACTTGCACTATACAACGTGAAAGCAAATCGTAGTCTGATTTGTTGAAAAGATTGGAAGTCTGCGATTTTTATTGCTAAATTTATAAGGTGATAATTAAATCCCAAACGATATGATTTAATGTTCAATTTAATCAAATATTTTATCATTTGATCCCATGCCCATCTAGTACGTAATTATATTTGGAGAAATGGGCTGTTCAAGACTATCCCATGCTGTTCAAGACTATTCCAAACATGAGAATCACTATAACGTAAGTAACTCAATATGAGGCCCAAATTATATTGTTGGCCCAATAATATACATAGGTAAATGTCATATTTTACTTATATAACATTTCTATATTCATTTTAGTTTTATTTATAAAATAGCCGATTTCAACCTCAAAAGATTATAAATATATAAGATATCAGTTGCGGTCAATTCAACCCTGTTATTAAGGAATGTACATCGATTTAATTGTGATTAAATTATTAATTAAGATTATGATATATCCTTGACAAAAACCGAACAATATCATCCCAAAGAATCGACCGCCGTTGTGCCCAATCGTCTTGCATGTTTGTTCATCTTCCAACAATGCCCACACGACGTGCAAACAGCCGAGTGACACCCAGCCGCACCCAATGCCTGCACCTAGCGCCCGAGCACATAGCTGCACACGTCTGTGATCGCCAGCTCCTGCCAGCGTCTGTCATCCACGCTCCGCACGTTGTACGCATATAAAGCCGAGCGAAGCAATGACATGCCCGCGCAACACGTCCCCGTATCCGCATGCGATTCGCGGCCCAACGACCTGAGACGAACAATTCCCATCCTTGATCGACGAAACACGAGATTTAGTCCATTTGGCCAATGAACCCGAGAATCAGGCGATCTCCAATAGCGGTAATAAGATTCGTCTCAAAGTCTTCAAGTTTTAAGCAGTGAGTGTTCAATCCAATCTATAGTCCGCTGCGCTTTAGGCTTAATTTTGTAGACTTAGATACAAAAAAATACTACGTTCCTCACAGAGCACCAACAGACGACATGTGGGCGGCAGGCGCAGTGGCTGCTTGGTGGTGGTCAGTGTTGCTTAGATTGTTACTCTGCCCCTCTGTACTCTTTCGTCTCTAGTGCTGGATGACTGGGGTCGGAAGGCGGGTGTAGCTTCTCGGTGGACTGCAGTTGCCGGCCGGGCTGGGGGTGGGCGAGGTGTAGGTTTACTGATTTAGATTCGTTTGAGACCTTATTGGTTTGATTTGTCCTTGGTGTGGTTCTAGTTAGCAGGTAGAGTAGTTTTTGGAACGTTGTTTTGGGTCGGGATTTGTTTCTTTGGGGGTTGTCATGGGCGTCGACCTAAATGAGGTTCCATAGAGAGTCTCGACCGTTGGAGGAGAGTTTTAGTTTATTCTACCTATTAGTTTGTTTTTATTCTTATTTTGTTTTTATGCACTTTTGTGTGTTTTGTTTCTTTCTCTACCTTGAGAATTGTGTTGTTTGTAGTTTCCACTTATTGGAGTTTATTTATTTATTTATTTATTTTCATGTTTTGAGCATGGTGGTGTGTAGGCAATCTTTAAATATGTTTTCTCACTAGACTCGACTGAACAGCTGCTTAAATCAGCCATAAAAAGAAATGTTGCCTAACAAGTTATTCGACTTTACTTTTCCCCCCGGCCCCCTACTGTTTCCCCCTATACATAGCTACTACGTAGCGTTATCCATATATGGAAATGGAAAGATACTTAAAACGCTACGCTACATAACAGAAAATCATCGTGTGAAAACGCACATATGCACTCCAACCCACAATTAAATATAATAAAATATTTTTTTATTTCATAAATTCAGAAAATAATACATTTTTACGTAAATTTTCTAAATTGTTAATTATATGAATTTAAAATACTTGAAAAATTACTAAACGTGAGGCACTGACTTTATAAATACAAATATAATCACAATACAATTTCAAAAAAAAAAAAGAGTCAAATATATGAAGTTGTAAATAATAACATTGTTATACATATATAACTTTAAAAATATAATTAAAAATATCTTTTTTGGCAAATTTAGTGTAAAAATACGAGCCATTTGCATATTTATTATACATAATTTCACATTAAAAATATAAATTATTTATTTTTTTTGTACAAATATTAATATATTTAAGTACCCGTATAATAAATAGGTTTTGCACTAATGTGGAGCTATCCTTAAAGATGCTCTTAAATGCACACGTTGACTTCCAAATATAGATTTTAATTTCCTTCAATTAAATATTTAAATGCACGTTGGCTTACAAATATAGAAAGATACCCACTCCACTAATCTTCATTATTCGCTCAAATTCAAGAAAAAAAAAAAAAAAATGGCCTGCATTTTACTCCCCTGTTTAGCTACCCTACTCACATTAGCCCTGTTTCTCAAGTTGTTGCTCAAATTCAAAAACAACTCCTCGAAACCCCATCCTCCGGGCCCGACGGGCTGGCCGCTGGTCGGCAACATGTTTGATCTGGGCGAGTTGCCCCACCAGACACTCCAAAAGTTACAGGCCCTCTACGGCCCGGTCATCCGACTCAGGCTCGGGGCCGTCAACACCATCGTGGTACAATCATCCGAAGCAGCGGCCGAGCTCTTCAAGAAACACGATCTCACGTTTGCCGGCCGAAAAGTGCCAGATTCAATGACAGCCTTAGGGTACAACCGGGGCAGCCTGCTCTTTGCAGCCTACGATGAGTACTGGCGGAAGGTACGCTGCATTTGCACCGTGGAATTTCTCGTCATGAAGAGGTTAAACGAGTCGATTCCCATACGGCGGAGGTGCGTGGATGGTTTGGTTGACCGGATTAAGAGCGTAGTCGAGAGATCCGTGGATCCGATTATTGAATTGAATTGGTTCCTCTTTTTGACTGCTTTTAATACAATCGGGAACATATTGTTGTCCGAGGAGGTTATGCGGACGAAGCTCAACGAGGCGGGCGAGTTTTTCGAGGCCTTTATGAAGTTTGTGGAATGGTTAGGGAAGCCTAACGTGGCCGATTGTTTCCCATTTTTGAGATGGCTCGACCCACAGGGAATTAGGAGGAATACGGGAAAGTATTTTGAAAGGTTGATAAGGTTTGCGTCCGGGATTGTGAGTGATAGGATTCGGGAGCGGGAGTCCGGTGTGTGAATGGAAAAGAATGACTTCTTGGATGCTTTGTTGGAAGAAGGTGAAGTTAATCAAGATGGCCCTGATAAGCTATCATTGAAGAATATAACAATTGTCCTGCTGGTAATTTTTCTTTACATATTAGGTAGACCATTATCTGTTTATCTTAGTGTAATGTTTGTCCACTGTCCTATAACAGCCTCAAGAATTAATTCATGAAACTAATAAACAAATAAATTTCACTAAATGGTATATATCTTTCGACCTTTTAGGAAATGTTTTTAGCTGGAACCGAGACCACGGGAACAACAATTGAGTGGGGAATGGCTGAGTTGCTTCGTCATCCGAGCTCGATGGAAAAGATCCAAGAAGAAAACGATCGGGTCGTGGGGCGTACGCGGAGAGTCCAAGAGGATGACCTAGTTCAGATGCCTTATCTTCAAGCAACCGTGAAGGAAATACTGCGATTACACCCAAGTGTCCAGATGCTACTTCCGGGGAATTCGATGGAGGATACAGAGTTGTTGGGCTACTTTGTGCCAAAGGATACACAAGTACTTGTGAACGCATGGGCAATCCATAGGGACCCGGCCGTGTGGCCCGACCCTCTGTCCTTCAAGCCCGAGAGGTTTTTGGACTCTGATGTGGACTTCAGGGGCCAGCACTTTCATCTGATCCTGTTTGGTTCGGGCCGACGTAGCCGCATTGGTCTTAACCTTGGCCACAGAATGGTGGGCCTGACCGTGGCCAGTTTGCTGCAAGTGTTCGACTGGAAGCTTGCGGAGCCCGAAGAGCTGGATATGAGGGAAATGGTGGGCTTGACCTTGCGAAAGAAGGTGCCTTGAAAGTAGTCCCCGAGGATAATGCTAAATCGGCACATTAATGTGTAGTTGGGTAATAATGTTTTGAAAAGTAGTTATTTTCACTCCAAAAACGGAATAAGTTTTACACATCGTCAAATAATAAGTTAACTTTTTTGACTCCATGAAGTGCTAACAAATTTTAGGATAAGTTATACGACAGACAGATACAAAATAATATGCGATAAATTGTGTAGCAAACAGACGAATAAAATTGATAAAATGTGAAACATTTATGTGATAAACTATGTGATATACTGAAGATAATTGATAAAGTGTGAAAGAGTTATTCAATAAATTAACTACGCGACTATTGATACTCAATTTGATTCCGTAACGGACCGTAATATCACCCCTTATTATTATCTTGGTTACAATTTTATTCGTAACCTAAATGTGTCTTGTGTGTACAACTGAGATAAAATTTTAACTACCTGATCACATAATATAATTTTAACTAGTTAAACATCACAACTCAAATAAGACCGGCTAATACTACTTAATTATACTTTTCTACAAACAAATTTGTATTTATACTATGAAATATTATAAACAAATTGTGTCCTAGTTGCCACCAATTTAAATTTTCTTGTGCTTACAAGTTGATGTCATTCAATCTGGGTCGCTTATTTAATTAAAAAAAAAAAAAAATTGTGGCAAAAAATAAAAGAAAAAAAAAATACTATGGACAAGAATCAAACAGACGGATTATGGAAATCCATCTTTTTAGAAAAACAGATTGCCATAATCCATTTTTTTTTTTCAAAATCCGTTATACAATTTCTTTTTTTTTTTTAGATCGAATTGTGAAATTCGGGCCGTTAGGGCTCGTCCGAACTCGGAATTGAGTTCTGCTTTTTCCTACATGTCGCCAACGAAGCCTTCTACGTATTTATGTTTCCGAATCAAATTTATTCTTGAAAACCTATTCTCCCAAAGCTCTTGACCTGAAGTTGGCAGCTTCCGTGCACGACTTCGCATATCGGGCCCGTTCGGACTCGTCCGAACTCAAAATTGAGTTTCGATTATTCGTACATGTCGCTAAAGAATCCTACTACTAGAGCATGCTTTCCTGACCAATTTTCGGGCTGGAACTATTTCTTGCGGGGCTTCCGGCAAAAAACAGGGAAAAAGAATAAAATAATGAAGAAAACTAGCAAAATTCGGGCTCGTTTGGGCTTGTCTGAACTCGAAATTGAATTCCGTTTTTTTCTACATGTCGCCAACGAAGCCTTCTATATAATTATGTTTTCAAATCCAACCTATTCATGAAAACCTATTATCCCAAAGTCTTGACCTGAAGTTGGCGGCTTTCTTGCACGACTTCACATATCGAGACCGTTAGGACTCGTTCGAACTCGAAATTGAGTTTTGATTCTTTCTACATGTCGCCAACGAATCCTACTACTAGAGAATGCTTTTCTAACCAATTTTCGGGCAGGAACTATTCCTAAAATGGGGAAAAAGAATAGAAAAAGAAGAAGACTAGCAAAATTTAGGCTCGTTTGGGCTTGTCCGAACTCGAAATTGAATTCTGTTTTTTTCCTACATGTCGCCAACGAAGCCTTCTATGTAATATGATTTCAAATCCAACATATTCTTGAAAACCTATTATCTCAAAGCTCTTGACCTGAAGTTGGCGGCTTCCTTGCACGACTTCGCATATCGGGACCGTTCGGACTTGTCCGAACTCGAAATTGAGTTTCGATTCTTCCTACATGTCGCCAATGAATCTTACTACTTGAGCATGCTTTTACGGCAGATGTTTCAGCTGAAAATATCTATTGCGGGGCTTCCGACCTAAAACGGGGGAAAACAAAAAGAAAAACGAAAAAAACTAGCAAAATTGTACTAATTTGAGTTCAATTGGACTAATTCGAGTTCTATTACACTATAATTGACCGTGATTGGTACGTATGTATGTATGTATGTGTGTATGTAGCATATATATATGATGTGGTTCAAATGAGAACCAAGTCTTAGCGTGAGAACCGTGAGAACAACTATTTTTAGTTGTACGTAGTGCTCTGATTAATTGTTTTTAGTGCTATTTTTAACATAGTTTTATTTTATTAAAAATAGCAATGTGGAATATATGGGACTTCAATATATTGTTAGTTAATAATTGTTTACTTTTGTTTTAAGACTTTTAGCTTAAGAAGCGTGTTTTCCTTCTTTTGTAATAGTATAAATAGTTGTACTGAGACCGTTTTCATTTGCGTGTGAGAAATAGAAGCAAAAGGGATTTTTCCCCCAATTTCATCTTCTTCATACTTTCTTCATGGTATCCAAAGCCTCTTAAAAGGTTCGATCTGATCTTGTATGACGCAATCATCAACCTCGCGACCTCGCAGAGAGATGACCGGCGAGATCGCCTTATCGCACGACGATCCGATGCATCTGCAGAGCTCCGATCACCCAGGCTTACATTTGGTCTCTGTTCAGCTGAATGGCAACAATTTCCTACCATGGAAGCGAGCTATTCTGATCGCACTAGGAGCCAAGAACAAACTAGACTTCATCAATGGAAAAATCACTGCTCCAGTGGAAGGAGATGATGATTATATCAACTGGAAGAAGGTCGATTATATGGTAACCTCTTGGATCCTAAATTCTATGTCGACTGACATTGTGGAAGGTTTTTTATACGTTGATTCCGCTTTTCAACTTTGGGAAATTATTAATCAGCGATTTGGAGAATCGAATGCACCTCTGATATTTAGCTTACAGAAGGACATAGCTAACATTAAGCAGGGAAATTCATCAGTTGTTCTATATTTCACAAAGTTGAACAGGCTTTGGGATGAATGTGCTGCCTTGGCTCCTTTGCCTTTATGTGGCTGTGCTAAATCGAAGGATTTACTTGAAATGGACTCACGCAACAAGCTGATGCAGTTTCTCATGGGATTAAACGAGACATACGGTTCGGTGACCAGTCAGATTCTTCTTATGGATCAATTTCCCAATGTTAACAAGGCATATTCACTTATATTGCAAGAGGAAAGGAAAAGGAATGTGCATACAATGTATCCAGATTCTGCTGATGTAGCTGCTGCGGTTGTCCAACAGGGAAAAGACTTTGGAAATAGAGGTAGAGGAAATGTGTCAAGGGGAAGAGGACAAGGATGGAATTCAACACGTGGCAGAGGCCTAGGTCGTGGCTTCACAAACAGGAAGACTAAGGAAGAGAGAGCACACCTTTTCTGCGAGCACTGTGGCTATAATGGACATGAGCAGAAGGAATGTTTCAAGTTGCATGGATATCCTGAGTGGTATAAGGAGTACAAGGAGAAAACTGGTAAAGGCTATGCTAATCAAGTAGAAACCATAGAGAATTCACATAAAGGTATAGATATGGCAAGCCTTGCACAAGAACTGATGAAATATATGGGAAGCAAATCAAGGTCAGAAAGTGATTCAGGATCAGAGGGAGTAAACTTTGCTGGTACTGTTGCTAACCTTGATTTTCATTTTGCACTTTCTATGTTTGATGATATAGGAAAGGGTTCTTGGATCTTGGATACAGGTGCCAGTAGGCATATGTGCACTAATGAGTCACAAATGTTTGATATTACACCCCTAACCAAGTCAATTGCAGTTTATCTTCCTGATGGAACTGTTAAAAAGGTCACACACACTGGAAAAGCCAAATTAAATGATCATATTGTCCTCAATGAAGTATTGTTCATCCCAACCTTTAAATTCAACCTTTTGTCAGTTTCTCAGCTTGCACATGATTCTAATATTCAGTGCATTTTTACACCTTCTAAATGTTCCTTGCAGGACCTTAAGGATTGTGAAGTGGTGGCAGAAGGAAAGATGATTGGAAAGCTATATGTTCTGAATGCCTCTTCTACCTGTCCTTTGTTGAATAATGATTCTTGCTTAAATGTTTTACCTCATTACAATGACTTAGAAACTTGGCATATGTTGTTAGGGCATGCTTCTGTTAGTACTATGAAACATTTGAGTTTTTTGCAGCCACATTTCTCAGATTCTAATGTGGCATCCTTGAAATCTTGTGAAGTTTGTGCTAAAGCTAAACAGCATAGAACTCCTTTTCCTACATCTACTATACAAAGCACTTCAGTTTTTGATATCATTCACATTGATTTGTGGGGACCTTGTAATGATGGGAATGTGAAAGGGATAAAATATGCTTTGACCATTGTGGACGATTTCAGTAGAGCTACATGGTTATATTTGTTAAAGCACAAGACACAAGTTCCTTGCACCCTTTCTTCCTTTATAGCACTTGTGAAAAATCAATTCCAGAAAACCATTAAAACTGTTAGAAGTGATAATGGTTTAGAATTTGTGAATCAGGAATGCCAAGGTATTTTTCAGTCTTTAGGCATTATCCATCAAAGAACTTGTGTTTACACTCCTCAACAGAATGGGGTAGTTGAAAGAAAGCATAGACACCTTTTGGAAATGGCTAGGTCTCTTATGTTTCATTCCCATCTTCCCATGTTTCTTTGGCCAGAATCTTTGCTTACTGCCACCCATATTATAAATAGACTTCCCAGTTCCATTTTAAACTGGAAAACTCCATATGAAGTTCTCTATGGGACATTACCTGATTATTCTTCCTTGCAACCTTTTGGCTGTTTGGTGTTTGCAGCTAACACAGATCCTCATAAAACCAAATTCACCACTAGATCCCACAAATGTGTTTTCCTTGGGGTAGAGATGGGAATGAAAGGTTACAAACTGTTCAATATGGACAGTAAGCAAATCATAATCAGCAGGGATGTTAAATTTTTCCCAAACCTCTTCCCTTATCATACAGAAATTCTAAATACATCAAACACTTTGCCATTGCCCACTATTCCTTTTACTGAAGATGCATTCCCTGAAATTGGACCTTCTAATATATTACCAATGTCCACTCCTGTTGATGATTCTACTGCATCCTTGGATCATTCATCTGTTCCCAGTATCTCCATTCATATTCCAGCTGCTCAATCTCATCATGATAGACCACACAGAAATAAATCTAAACCACTTTGGCTTCAGGATTATGTGTGTTGCTCCAATCATCATCCTTCTCATGCTACCATGGATCACTCTATTAAGGTAACCAATTCCAACCCTTCATTTGGTTACTCACCCCCTTTTACACCTGATATCTCTTTTTCTTCCAACTATACAGCATTTATGAATAATGTATCCATTGTCCAAGAACCTGTTTCTTATAATCAAGCAAAGCAGAGTGCAGAGTGGGTTAAGGCAATGCAGCTGGAATTAGAGGCACTTGAAGCAAATGATACCTGGGATTTGGTACCCTTGCCAGTTGGTAAAAAGCCCATTGGGAATAAGTGGGTGTACAAGATTAAAAGGAAGGCTGATGGGACAGTTGACAGGTGTAAAGCCAGACTTGTGGCAAAGGGATACACTCAGGTATATGGGATTGATTATGTGGATTGTTTTTCTCCTGTTGCCAAGCAAGTAACTGTGAGGTTATTTCTAGCCATTAGTGCAGCTAAAGGGTGGCCATTGTGTCAAGTTGACATAAATAATGCATTTTTGCATGGTAGTTTGAAGGAGGAGATATATATGGAATGTCCACAGGGTTATTCTAAACAGAAAAATGGTGAAGTATGTAGACTTAAGAGGAGCTTATATGGGCTGAAGCAGGCCTCTAGGGAATAAAACCAGGAGTTTTGTGGAAAATTGATGCTCTATGGGTTTACACAGTCTCAGCATGATCACTGTCTGTTTACCAAGTCCACAGGTGACAACTTTATTGCTCTTTTGGTGTATGTTGATGATATTCTCATCATGGGGCCCAATTTGAGTCTGATTGCTAACTTGAAGAGTTATCTGCACAAGGAATTTACTATCAAAGACTTAGAATTTGCAAAATTTTTCTTGGGCATAGAGATTGATAGAGGACAGCAAGGCACTTACTTAAGCCAGAAAAATTATATATTGGATCTGCTGCATGACATGAATCTTACCAACTGTAAAGCAGCAGCCACACCTTTGGCACATGGACTAGTTCTTAAAGGAAAGGATGGAGCACCTCTGACAGAAGCTGATACATTCAGAAGATTGGTGGGTAGGCTCTTGTATTTAAATCTCACTAGGCCAGACATTGCATTTGCTGTGCAGCAGTTAAGTCAGTTTATTAATGATCCTCACACTGCTCATTGGACAGCAACCATGCATGTTTTGAGGTACTTAAAGGGTACATCTTCTCTGGGTTTATTTTATCCAGCTTCCAATGATTTTCATGTGACAGCATACTGTGATGCTGATTGGGGGGCTTGTCCAGATACTAGAAGGTCATTAACAGGGTTTTGTGTGTTTCTTGGAAGTTCATTAGTTTCCTGGAAAAGCAAGAAACAATCTACAGTTTCTAAATCATCTGCAGAGTCCGAGTACAGAGCCCTTAGTGCTACAGCTTGTGAATTACAATGGCTTGTCTACATTTCTCAAGATTTGCAGTTGCCTCTTCATCTACCTATTCCTCTCCTTTGTGATAATCAATCTGCTCTCCACATTGTTGAGAACCCTGTTTTCCATGAGCGGACGAAACACTTGGAGATTGACTGTCATTTGGTCCGCAACAAGTTCAAAGAGGGTTTGTTGTCTCCCAGTTATGTGCCATCTTCTCAACAGGTGGCTGATGGGCTCACTAAGTCTCTTGGTGGTCAGTCTTTTCGTTCTATGGTGGTCAAGTTGGGCATGACAGATTTTCCCTGTCAGCCCACTTGAGGGGGGTGTGTGGAATATATGGGACTTCAATATATTGTTAGTTAATAATTGTTTACTTTTGTTTTAAGACTTTTAGCTTAAGAAGCGTGTTTTCCTTCTTTTGTAATAGTATAAATAGTTGTACTGAGACCGTTTTCATTTGAGTGTGAGAAATAGAAGCAAAAGGGATTTTTCCCCCAATTTCATCTTCTTCATACTTTCTTCAAGCAACACAATTTATATTAGCATTTGTGAGAATGATAGTACCATGTGTGTTAAAAATAGCATCAATCACAATTATAGACAACATCAAATATGGTTCTCACGGTTCTCACGCCAGCACTGGTTTTTATTTGAACCAACCCTTATTTATACATATATATAAATATATATATGCTACATACATACATACATACATACATATAATGTTCCATATATAGTAGGGATAACAAACAGTTTATGTAGTTCAACCATTTATGCGCTTAGTCGGGATCACAAACAGCGGATTCTTCTTCCTAAGGGTCAACCCCAATTGTTCCTCCCTGTCAATGTCCTCGGGCTTGATGCCTGGCCCGAGATCCCAATCAAATGACTGAACCAGGGTTGCCATAGCCAGGTGGACCGTCCGACGGGCCAGCTGGTACCCAATGCAGATCCTCCGCCCCGACCCAAAAGGGATCAACTCAAAGTGCTGCCCATTGTACTCAATGTTGGAGCCGAGGAACCTCTCGGGCCTGAACTCGAGCGGGTCGGGCCAGACCTCTTGGTCGCGCCCAATGGCCCACACATTGACAAACACCTGGGTGTCTTTGGGGATACGGTATCCCATGTAGTTGGTGTCCTCTTTGGTATTCCTGGGGAGCAGCAATGGCGCCACTGGGTGGAGGCGAAAGGTCTCCTTAACGACCGCTTGCAGGTAAGGCATGTTCTCGATGTCCTTCTCCTCGACCCGCCGGTCCATGCCCACGACCCGGTCCAGCTCCTCTCGGACCTTCTTGAATGTGTGCTGGCTTCGCAGGAGCTCCGCTAATCCCCACTCGATGCTGATGCTTGTGGTCTCGGATCCCGATGCCAACATTTCCTGATCATTTTCACCATCATCAAGGACTTATTATTATGCATTCATATGAATTTTGTTGTTTTATTTACCTATCGTAGATACACGTATATTAGTTTAGTGTAAATAATTTACGGTAGAAAATACTGACGGAATCATTCCATAAACAGAATTGTAGTCATCCCCTATGATAATATGCACGTTTGTCTTAGTGAATCGTTTTACATGTTGATCCAGTGATGCGAAACATAGTATATATATATCTCCAGAGAAGTCACATTTGTTAAGATGAAAAGGACCACACGTTCGTGGGAAAACTGAACACGAGCAACAATCGACTCGCTGACGTGATCAGGAGGGACCATTATTTTTTTTCAAGCATACAAACACTCACCGTGAGAACGATGTTGATATTCTTCTTGGTAATCCTATCCTTCCCATCCTCCTCGTACTCGAGCAGCACGTCGAGAAAATCCTTCCTCTCCCGAGCTTTCCCCGCCTTGCGCTCGTCCAGCCTCTCCTGGATGAACCTAGACGTTATTCGCATCGCGACACTCATATGCCTCTTCATCTCCCGCTTCATCCCGGCTGGGTCAATCCACTTGAGCCACGGCAGGTAGTCGGCTATGTTGGGGGTCCCCTCAAGCTCCAATGCCCGGTTCACGCAGTCGAAGTACTGCCTCAACTCGGGATCCTTGGCATTCAGCAGGTCCCTCGACAGCATCATGTTCCCCATCAGGTTGAACGCCAT